GGTTTTTTTTTTTTTTTTTTTTTTTGGTGGCTGGCCGGTAGGGAATCTGAATCCTTGCTGTGCTCTAACCATCTGAGCTAACTGGCCAGCCCATGCTTTGGGACTTTAAAAGCAAATTTCATATGCATTCTATGTGAGTCAGACACCAAAAGTTCTTTGTGGAATACTATTAAAGCATTTTTGCAGGGACTTCATCTGACACTTGATTGAAAATCCCCTCTGAGGCAAGCATGGTGCCCTGTAAGGGGAGAGAGTTACCAGCCTTTTGTTTTTGAGAACCAAACGTTCCTCTCTAGTTGGCCTTGGTGAAGAGTGAGTTTGGTAAATGGGGTCAGTTAATTCTACTCCCTTAATCCCATACTTGTTACTCTTGTTTATCCTCTCTTACATTTACACTGATTAGGACTGGCACTATGGGGGACTGGATTACTGAACTAGATTCCAAACTGGTTTCCTTATGATGTTTTTGAATGGATGTGCGAAAGGGTTAATTTGTATATGATGAAATAAAAAATTTTCACCTTATCCAAGCCAGAAGGAATGATAACAACCCAAGCAGGTATTATTCCAACACATTTTCCTACAAAAGTTATAAATTCTTTGTTGTAAACTGCAGTGCAAGTAGCAGTTTTAAAGATTTCAAGAGAAATATAAGAAATAGATGGTCTGCAAAATTATCATATGTCATAAGGGCAAAGTATTTTGGAAGAATGACCCCAAAGATCTTATGTGAACAACACACACACGTACACATACACATATTTGTCATCCTTGATTCAGTAATCCTATTTCTGGAAATTATCCAAAATCAGGCAGTTAAGATGTTTGTTACATAGTTATTTATAATAGCAAAATACGTGAAACTGTCACTATGTCCCAGCTACACAGGTGTGTGCATTAGAGAATATGTATTTTTAAAAAATTAAAATGATAACAGCCACGTAGCAATATGAAAATGCTTATATAAAGGAGAAATGTCAGGTATATAATCAGGACACTGAACCATTTAACTTGCATGTTTTTTATTTCTGGAATTTCTGTTCAGTTTGTTTTCTACTCTGTGTCTTCATTTTTCACGCCATTCTATTTATTCCTTGTGGTTACTGTTCCTGCCAATTATCTCCTTAGCTAAACATACCTTCCTGAATACTTTTTTTGATTGTTCTCAGGATATGAATCCTGAATTTGTTTAGGGAGCTTGGTTCCCTAGCAAGGTCCTGAGCACTGTGTCTTACCCTTAAGGGGTTAAATCCCCAGGACCCAACCTCTAAGGCCTTTACTAATTTCCATGCTTATTGTCCCTTTGGGGTTCACCTATCACAAATCACTAGGTCTGCTTTCTTTCTGGTACCTAAACTTTATTTCCTGTCCTCAAACTATGTTGTGCATTAAAAAATAGTTTATGCTTTATCCATCATTTCCATGTTTGTAGTGGTACCTTCAATCTCCCATATTGACTGGAAGTACATAAATACTTATTTATCTTTTCCATTTACTTGAACTATAATGAAAATATATGTGAATATAATCGGAGACTGGAAGGGACTTTGAAAATGAAATGGTTTGTTATAGGTAGAGACTGTAGGTTTGCAGTAACTATCTCTATTTTGCAGATATTCTGTATGGTCATTATATTGTCTTTAAAACAAATAATTAGGAGGATCTTCATCTTTTTACCTATTGTCTTTTGTTTCAGAATGCATATACTACAACTGCCATTAATGGGACAGATTTTTGTACATCAGCAAAAGATGCACTCAAAATCTTGTCCAAGAATTCAAGTCATTTTACATCTGTTAACTGCTTTGGAGACTTCGTAATTTTTCTAGGAAAGGTGAGATGTCTTGGCTAAATAAATAAAGGAGCCTGGGATTCAGAAAGTTAACCCTTGAACAATTAGCTTGAAAAGCAACTAATATTTCTTGAGTACTTACCCTGTAGGAGATGCTGCACTTCATCCTCTCATTTAATCCTCAATTCCATGAGGTATCCCTGTCTTGCAGATGATGAAACTAAGGTTTAATAACTTGTCCAGGATCCCACATTAGGTAGAGCCATTATTTTAGTCTTAGTCTTACTCTCTTACCTGTGATCAATTCTCTCTGCCATTCTGATTCCCTCTTTTTCATGTCTAAAATGAAAATGCTACTACCCTCAGAAAATGAATGTTTGAGGGGGGTTCTCATAAAAAATATGTGGAAATAGTATTGAAACTTGATGAAATTTGTACATTATTAAAAGGCAGTAAGTCTATAAATAAGATAGGATTGTTAATGTCCTAAATGAAGCAAAGGTTATATTTTTGTTGTCATCTAAATAGTTTTGTTCAAGGAATTGTTACGTAGAGTGAAGGAGCATCTTACAGCTCCAACATCTCACCGTGTAGAGGACAGAGCTCTGGACTTGGAATCTTTCACAGCTCCAAACTGTAGTTTTCATATCCAGTAATAAAGATAGCCCATGCCCTTCCTAGGTTGTAGGGGAGAGTAACTGAGGTGCTGATGAAGGTGGTGCACCTGCCCCTGCCCCACCCCCACCCCCTACTTGACCATGCCTCGAGGTAGAAGATTCTTTATACTGGGCCCTAGTGTGTCTCTCCATGTAATTTTCACCCACTGGGCCTTATTCTGGATATGTTTGCTTGATCCTGCTTCCACTTGATTGCCCGTCAAATTCTTGACCACACAGACCCTGACCTTCCTGCCATGTCTTCTCTATTCTGAGCAAAATATCCTTGCTTCTTTCAACCATTCCTCCCCATGACATGAACACTGCAATTTTCAGTGGTGCCCAAAAGTGAACAAGCCCTTGGTCTCCAGTTGTGACCTGGCCAGTGCCAAATATGGGGACCTGTGCTCCTCATTTAGGATTCTGTGCTTCTGTGGTATTTGGTATGTGCCTCCGGTGCATTACTATCAGTTAGCTGTCAGCAACAAGTTACAACATGCTTGGAGCTCACAGGTGTGTTGATTGCACATATATTTAAAGCTCAGCTGGGCCCCAGAGTTGTTTCCTGTGACAGTAGCAACAGAAACACAAAATAATGATGCCTTTCAGAACAGCCCAAATAATCTAAGTTATGGTTGTATTTACATGGATAATATTGTTTACATTAGCTTGGTAGGATTGTGAGTGATATATTTTTTAATAACTACTTCCAAAAATTTTTGGAATAAGATTTCATTTTTTTGTTGTATTTACATGGATAATATTGTTTACATTAGCTTGGTAGGATTGTGAGTGATATATTTTCTAATAACTACTTCCAAAAATTTTTGGAATAAGATTTCATTTTTTTAAAAGACTTATTTTTAATTTTATTTTAGATAATTCAATTTCCCGTTTCTCACAAGGAACATATATAATGGCTAATGAGCTTTTAAATGAGTATGTAATAAACAATGACTGTTGGTTTTTTGAATGAAGTAGCATTTGGACTTCCACATTCATCTCTGTGGACGTGCAGGGCAATGGGGACCCCAGATAGACTCCATTACATCTGTTAGACAATTAGGCACGTCATGGTCTATAACCATATGCCTGAAAATATACTTACACATAGCAAAAGCCTGGAGTACTCCTATTATCTTCCCACACCAGCACTGAAAGCCTTTCCACTGTAATCCCCAGGGTAATAATCACTTATTGGACTATAGAATATTCACTCAGTGGACTATTGCACTGTTGTTTACAAAATGGTGTTTTTGTTTTTTTAATAAAAAAGTTAAATGAAGGGCCAGCCCGTGGCTCACTCGGGAGAGTGTGGTGCTGACAACACCAAGGCCGTGGGTTCGAATCCCATATAGGGATGGCCAGTTCGCTCACTGGGTGAGCGTGGTGCCTATAACACCAAATCAAGGGTTAAGATCCCCTTACTGGTCATCTTTAAAAAAAAAAAAAAAAGTTAAATGAAAATGCATATTGTGGTGTTAGTGAAAAAAACAATAAATTTTGTGAGGTATTATTACATCTGTGTAAATACAGAAATGAGGCACAGATGAAATGAAAGTATAAATACTCTTCCCACCCACCCCTATTAACTGGGCTTCCTTTTGGTATCATAGCTTTTCATTTTTTCTTCTATTTCATTTTTCCCAGTTTTCTGACAAGCATTCTTCACAATAGGGCATGCACACATACATGCATATATATGAAATGGTTACTTGTAACTGACAAAAAATCTTTTCTAAAATATTCTAGCCAACCAGCTGATAAAGAGTTTCAACAAGCTCTTGTTTTGGACAGGTACTGGTGGTGTTTTTCACCGTTTTTGGAGGACTGATGGCATTTAATTACAATCGTGCGCTCCAGGTGTGGGCAATCCCTCTGTTATTGGTTGCTTTTTTTGCCTATTTAGTAGCCCATAGTTTTTTATCTGTGTTTGAAACTGTGCTGGATGCACTTTTCCTGTGTTTTGCTGTTGATCTGGAAACAAATGATGGATCGTCAGAAAAGCCCTACTTCATGGACCAAGAGTTTTTGGTAAGCAGACATTTCACTTCCTGTTGCAATCTCCATCCCCACAATCTCAAATGTGTTCAAAAGACTCACACACAAAGGAGGCTCAGACCCAGCCTCATTTTCTCTCCCAGAGGGCTCTATGGGCTTCTACTACCACATGGTCTGAATGTCCTGTGAGATTTGGGCTCATCTTTTCCAAGGCTGAACCCACTACCCTTACTGAAACCTCCTCCCTAGAGAGAAATGAGGCTTAACAGAACTAATACCCATTAGCTGAATTCCTCAGTAGGAGCAGCACCAAAGACCCTGGGGAGGTGTTCTGGACAACAGGAGTCATCTAAATCCCTCTGGTGCTAATGGCTTGGTCTGCCTGTTTGGGGGTCTGGATGTTTAACAGTTGATCTTTTTTTAAAGCATTCTTGCCTCCCCAAACATCATGTCATACCCACTCTATGTTAGGGAGACCACACTCCAGTGTAAACTAATCATCTTCTGTGCCAGTATTGACAGATCTGCAGCTCTCAGGCCCTTTATTTACCAAGGCACACCAGTGTGAGAAAAGCCACACCCTCAGTAGAGCCTCCACACTGCTTATATCTGGAAATAGCAGGCAGCTGTTTCCAACAGCTTTTGTAACACAGTTGTGGCTTATTTGCTTTATCCTGTGTAGACAGAGATATTTTAACAGCTGAATGATGTCTCATCTCTTTTCCTTGTCTGGGTCATGTGACATTTTAATTTTTTTTATTCTGTTGCCATAAACCTTAGGTATCAAAGCCTTTTTCGCTTTAAGCAGAGCATTCAAAGCACTCTCCAGTTAAGCAGATGCTGAAGTTTAACAAGCATTTCTATAGTTGTATAATTAATGTATCTACATCCTTTTCCATATAAAACATATACTTTTAGTTTTTACTTATCTTGACTAATTTGCTATGTACTCTAAAGAAAGTGTTTCTAATGGTGGTATGAAGCTAGCCAGGTCTTCTTTTACTGATTCACACTTTTCTGGTTAAAAATCCACCCTGAAATCTACCCCCCAAAATATTTTAATTCAGCAGGGAAAACGTTCTTAAGGATTTAATTCCCTGAAATTTATATGGCCAAAAATCCCTAGTAAATGGTTACCAACAGTGCAGATACATAACACTGGTATAACTCATTCTTTTGTTTTTCAGAATTTTGTAAGAAGGAGCAACAAATTAAACAACGAAGGGGCGCAGCGAGACAAAAACTCATTAAGGAATGAGGAGGGAACAGAACTCCGGCCCATTGTGAGACAGGAACCCATTTGTACCTGGTGAAACTTTCCTTCTTCTAAGAGCCATTTACAGAATAAAAGATAAGACCTGATAGACCTTATTCTTCTTCATTGTTCTCGTCCTTTTGACTAGTTACAATATTGGAACCATAAAAGTTTACAACTGTTATTGTACCGATGGGGACAGAAAAACTCTTTTTAAACCACGTATATATGCATCATTTTAAAAAAGCACAATATATAAAACTCAGATGAGTTTGTGAGGGCACAACCAATAAATAAACCTTTTTTTAAAAAAGGGTTGTTTTGTTAGCAGAAACCTCTGGAATGTTGCTTTTGTGCAGGGCAGGACTTTTCCCTACTCGCCCAATCCTGGAAATATGCTAAATATATTAGCTTTTCAGAGTATAATTCTTAGATTTAGTGACAATAAAAACTAAAAGTTTAAACTCTAACCAGAACTATCACCTGAACTGGGCAAGTACAGGAGTAGTTTAACCAATATGACTTAGTAGGTCAAAAGCTCGAGGCACTCCTACAAGTCAGCAAACATTCTAGAGAAGTGGTTTTCAAACTCAGCCACACCTAAGAATTGCCTGGAGAAATATTTTTTAAAATACTTATACCTGGGCCCCACCCCCAGAGATTTAGATGGGGGGGGGGGGGGCGGGACGAGCTTTTCCTTTTTAAATCTTTAAGCAAATAGTAACATTTGACATGTTGACTAGCAGCCTCATTTGTTAAATGGGCCAGTAGAATTACCACTCTCCTAACAGGAGGATCAGTCTGACTTATTTGCCAGGGCAGGTAGTGCATGATTTAATACTTACCTTCCATAAACATGTCCTCAAAGATGACAAGAAACAGCCTGACAAGCTCAGGTCT